CGGTAAAAACGCGAAAATCTCAGCACAGGGCGGTAGGTGCATTGTTAAACATGCAGCGTTCAACGTGTTAAGGAGGGAATGTTCCTCCTTCTTTTACATCTCTTGACCTTTGACCTTTGACCCCCAGCTTCAACATCCCAACTCGTTTTCGGATTACCCCCCCCCCTTACGTCCCGAATATCGTGACCGTACGTCGAGCGGTTAAGATGTGTGCCCAACTGTTGACGGACGGAAACTTCGATGCTTTATTTGGTTTACGAGTTGTTGAAGGTATGTCACTACTTGTGAGAGGGTGTAATACGCTGTATGTCCCCCGGGGTACTGCCGGAACGTACCCTGGTACTATCTAATATGCCGGACCGTATTTCGCCTACTCTACTAACGAGTCTAGGGAGTCGCCTGGCCACAAGTTCCCTTCTCGCTTAACACTACGTTGGCGAGAGGAGCGAGGCGAAAGTCCTACGACGTGTAACAGTCGGAGAGCCTGGTCGGTTTATGGAGTCGCCTACGCCTACTCCCTAACCCTAACCTTAACCCTAACCCTAACCCTAGGCTAACCATATCAAATAGTGACCAGGCTACGTTCCGGCAGTACCCTGGGGGACATAGACCCTATGAGCGTCACTACTGACACTAGGTACATTGCCCCATTAGCATTGCCAGTGCAGTGGGATCAGGTAGGCCCCTAGTTTATTTGTTGATCACTCATATTTACAGAATAAACAGCAACAGTAGAACTTTAATGGTAGGAATTAGCATTTTAAGAGCTCTCGGACAATCTCAGTTCTGGCCTACTGGTGGTTGATAGAATGCCTGAATGGCGATTAGAATGGTGATTGGTGGTCCCGTATTGTACTTGCACCGAAAAACTCACGCTCACAGTCACAGCAAAATATGTTGCTACAGGAGTAACAGCTTGAGAAAACTATTTGCCTACACACAATCCATTAATAATCAATGCTTTTTGCATGCATAAACTGCATAATCGAACGCTTTGAGTGAAGCTTACCAAATAGCACATACTCTCATGAACCTAGAATGCCAAATCAAGCCCCTTCAATCAGATTACACAAGCAGGTTGCGAAATTAACGCGAGTCCGGAGTCAAATACTCCCTGATTTACTATCAGACTCCCTGAATTGACATATGCAGGAGTTCGTGTGACTCCATGAAAATTCTGCTATATACTAACTAGTTTGTTCCAGAGCACGGCCTCACGGAATTACCGTATTCTTTCAGCAAATGTTCCAAGAAAATTTGGCAGACGTGCACCCCAAATGTCCTGCAATATCCAAACGTGTAATCAATAGTGGGTGTTACAGATACCCAGCGGATGCCGCGCTTGCCGCTATTGCGTACGATGTACGTGCGTTATGGTCAGCAGCTGTGTCGATTGATGTACGGCCCGATTGTTTCATGTTTGTGGCACGAAGTGATGTCATGTGCGAAGCATGTTTATGAATGCGTAGGGCTGACGGGCGCTTGTGAGGGGAGAACAAAAGTAAAACCTTTTCCGGTATCTCCCTCATCCTATCAGTTTAAAAGGGAAAAATTTCATGACCTGTGCATACAGCAGCTTTAAGTTAAATGGACACATAGTTCCTAGTTTTCAGGGATAGTGTGCTGCAATGAATGCTGTGATTTTATACTATGTTTAATCCTTTATTGTTAGTAGTTTGGTCTATGTTTTCAGACCTATTCCTTATTTAAATTTTATTTCACACTGTTATGGTTTTCCAAAAAAAAGTTTTGGGTTACTTGTGTACTTACATATATAAAAATATCACTTACAAAAAATTATTAATAGACTATATTGCTTTTTATGTTTAACAACTGAATATATTGTTTACTTGTTTATATATGTTAAGTGTTTTGTTTCATGCTTATACATAGTAGTTTAAATTTGTTTTATTTCTTTAGCTCATCTGACGTAGTCAGGTGCAGCTTGTAGAATCGCATGATCGTTCGTCCGTCCGTCCGGCCGTCCGTGCGTCCGTCCGCAGCTCATGAAAATGCAATTTGTAATATTCCACAAGCTGCTTTAGAGCTTCCACTACATGCCATTTTGTATTAATGTCTGATTTTGGTGATGACGGGTGGAAGAAGGTACATGTTATTATAAATATAATAGAAAACGGTAGGGACAACTCCATGATGACAATCACACGTTACAGATATTGTTTATCGTACGGTGCTGCCATCTCCCGCCAAAAATATATCTGAAAGCAAGGAGATCAAATCAAATTAGAAACGCCAGTAGGAAAAACGGATAATTTCATAACAAAAGAAATAGTTAAACAAGGAACTATATTAGGACCAGTCCTATGCTGCATGACTTTGGACTGTTTAAATTTCCTAAATAATGTGAAATACATGTATAGTGACACAATAGAAATCGGACCTTTACTATATATGGATGATATTCTAGGAATATGTCACAGATTAGCACAATCAAAAAGATTAGAATTTAATTTAAACAAAACAAACACAATGGTCATGAAATTCTCAAATAAAGAAAGGATAGAGAAAGATATATTATTAGGAAATCAGGTAATCAAAAAAATGCACCAAATATACATATCTAGGCGATCTATTTAATGACAAAAGGGGGTGACAAATAATAAAGGCACATGATAAAGGCACGATCCGATAAATGTAGATTCATGATGAGAGAAATAGTATCAGGGACAGAGGAGCAAAATTATGGTAACCATACCATAGAAGCAAGAGTCAAATTATATGAATGTACAGTAATACCTTCTTTCCTGAACAACAGTGAAACGTGGACCAACATAACTAAGGAAGAATTTAAAATGTTGGAGGGCTTTCAAGATGGTCACGTGATACAGTTGACGTATACTTTAAAACTTAAGGAACAGTAGCCTCTAGGTTCTAGGGTTAGTTTTCGACGTCTTATAAACTACCAGTCTTCTTACACTAATTCTTGCTCTCTGACTTTTCGATAACCAATTGAAACAAACAAATCATTCAACTACACTTTCGCAAACACCTAAATCTCTATCGCATTGCAAGACCAGTTAGGCAGGCAACAATTATGATAAAGGTGACCCGCAATGGAGCTCGCGCCAGTGATATTTTGACCCTACTCACAACAAGCATTCACTGAATTCAGCGCTTCAGGAGGTGCACTATAGACAGACACTGCCTTTAGAAACTAATATGATTTACAGGGCAAGCGTACAACCTTCTTCAACAAAACATATTGCCATTTTGCAATTATAACCTGCAACCTGCACTGTAGCCTCACATTCACATCAGTATGGGGCTCATGAGAGCCGACGGACTTCTGGCCAGTTTGCATTCCGGTTTAAACCAGAAACCAGCTAACCAGGTGCGGTATCTTCAGCAATTGACGCTCAAAAACTTCCACAAGAGGCTGCACCAAAACATAGACCTAATTTTTCTAAACATTCCTGGGGGGCATCACCCCCAGACCCCACCTAGCTGTGACGTAGAACTATGGAAAACTGGTCATCAAAACATACTGGATCGCCTGCTTGAGGGCCTCTAGTTATAGCGAAAGCAGTTTCGATCCATTTGACTCTAACAGTCAAGACAAATCATGTGTATATACACCTACCTAACTTGCAGGGTCAAAAGGTTATCGACACTTACTCTCCCGCCATGTCAGCGGAAACGGACCATTTCACCCGGTCTTTTCAATAAGCTATTATTAAAAATGGCCATATAGCGGTCACCCGCTGATAACCAATAAGTTTTTCAAATCGCTCCGTCAGCACCATGTCCTCAGAAATGTCTAACAAATTTTCCCTCTGCCCCATTGACCTCCACATTAGACTCGTGCACCCCAAATTTAGCACACAGTGCATTGGCTTTTCATACCATGATTGCTATGACACGAACTTATCAATCAAGCCCTTAGGTGAAGCACATTTAGATTTGTGCCGCAAATTCTGCTTTCCTCCCCTATACGGCTTTAAGTTAAGGAAGGGATGTAACTCTTGTTTACATCTCGTGGACCCTAATTGACCTTTGACCACATGTTCAAGCATCCCAACACTCATTTCATCGGACAGTTACCCCCCCCCCACACCCCACCCACACGTCCCGAAATCGTGAACCGTACCGTCGAGAGGGTTAAGATTCTGTGCCCCAACTCGTTTGACGGCCGGCCCCATGGACGGAGCAAACACGTGAACGGCAGAACGGACGACAACCACAAACAAACGACAGGATATCGCGATTCTACAAGCATGACACATGATAACGTCAGCATGATGCTAAAGAAACAAAACAAATTTCTAAACATACACTATGTAATACAGGCATGAAAACAAACACTTAAAACATATATAACAACGCTAAACAATATATTCAGTTGCTTAAACAATAAACGAATTATAGAACCTATTAATAATGTTTTCTCTTAATATTTTTCTAATATATATGTAGTAACACAGGTAAGCCAAAACATATTTTTTTTGGAGAAAACATACAGGGTGAAATAAAACTTTTAAATAAGGGATAGGTCTGAAACAACAACTAGACAAACTCACTAACACTAAAGGGTTAACATCAGTTAAAAAATCACAGCATTCAGTGGCAGACAATTCGCA